GGTGGGGGGAGCAGAAAGAACCCTGGTGACCAACTAGCTCAGCATTTCTCAATCAACAGTCAACAGTGCACAGTATGCTCCTAAACAAGGGACTCCATGGGCAGGTAACCAACAGAATCATTGTTTACTGTGTTCTCTTGAAGACTTGGAGAAGCCCTGAAGCAAAGAAACTTCTTATATTTTGTTTGTCAAATTTATTTGACCACAAAAATCTTTTCCCCCTACGTAATGCCTAACAGCTTCTGGACGTGGCGTGCTGATCTATTCAATACTCCCTTCATTTGACAGAGGAGAATGATAAAGCCCATATTAAGAGACACAGAGACAATCACCCCCCTTGCTGGCAAGGGCTGGGAACTAGACCTTGGCTCTCAGACAGCTAGTCCAGGCTCTTTCTGTCACCTTGAAAGAGGCATTGCTAATGGTGGTAGTTTCTATGTATCCCCTAGCACATTTTCATTGTCTGGAATCTGAGGTTGTACTTATTTATAGTGCACTCAACAATGAATCCATCAAATGCTTTGAACGTTTTAAAAAGGGCATTGGGCCCTGTACAGTTGACCTAAATAAATGAGACTATCTTTTAAATGGCATGTAATTTACTATATAGTGAAATATTTTATCATGCTGTATAATCACATCCTAAGAGGTTATTCTTTCATACATGAGAGTAAATCAAAGGGGTCAGGTGTCAGTTAAATTTGTGACTGAAATGGAAATAGACTGTCCAGCAAAGAGTAACTGTAGACATTTCTTTTTTTTTTTATCCTCACCCGAGGACATTTTTTCTTTTTCTTTTTTTTTTTTTATTATGAATTTTTATTTATTTTTTTGTTACAGATATTTTACCTTTTTACCCCATTACACCCCCCACCCCACCCCCCCTCCACCCTGTCCCCGGCTTAGTTGTCCATGTCCATTGGTCATGCATACATGCATATAAGTTCTGTGGTTTATCTCTTCCCACCCCCCCACCCCCCATCCCCTCTTCTGAGGGATGTCAGTCTGTGCCCTACTTCCATGTGTCTGGGTCTACTGTATTCCTCAGACTGTTATGTTCATTATATTCCGTATATAAGTGAGATCATGTGGTATTTGTCTTTTTCTGCTTGGCTTCTTTCACTTAGGATAATACTTTCCAGGTCCCTCCATGTCGTCTCAAAGGATAAGAGGTCTTTCGTTCTTACCGCTGCATAGTACTCCATTGTGAATATGTACCACAGCTTTTTTATCCATTCGTCTACTGGTGGACACTTGGGCTGTTTCCAGATCTTAGATTGTAAATAGTGCTGCTATGAACATGGGGGTACATATATTCTTCCTGATTGGTGTTTCAGGCTTCTTAGGGTATATTCCCAGCAGTGGGATCACTGGGTCAAAAGGAAGTTCAATTTTTAATTTTTTGAGGTAGCACCATATTGTTTTCCATAGCGGCTGCACCAGTCTGCATTCCCACCAGCAGTGTATTAGAGTCCCCTTTTCTCCACACCCTCGCCAACACTTGTTGTTTGATGATTTGTTGATGGCGGCCATTCTGACAGGTGTGAGGTGATACCTCATTGCTGTTTTAATTTGCATCTCTCTGATGATTAGTGATGTTGAGCATTTCTTCATATGTCTCTTGGCCATTTGTATGTCCTGTTTGGAGAGGTGTCTATTCAGCTCCTCTGCCCATTTTTTAATTGGGTTCTTTGTCCTCCTTTTGTGGAGTTGTATGAGCACTCTATATATATTGGAAATTAACCCCTTATCTGATACATCATTGGCAATGATGTTCTCCCATACAGTGGGTTGCCTTTCCATTTTGATGATTGTTTCTTTTGCTGTGCAGAAGCTTTTTAGTTTGATGTAGTCCCATGTGTTCATTTTCTCCTTTATTTCTGTTGCCTTAGGTGATGTATCAGTGAAAATTCTGCTCCGTATGATGTCCGAAATTTTGTTGCCTACATTTTCTTCTAGAATTTTTATGGATTCACGGGTCACATTTAAGTCTTTTATCCATTTTGAGTTTATTTTTGTGTATGGTGTAAGTTGATGGTCTAGTTTCATTTTTTTGCATGTAGCTGTCCAATTTTCCCAACACCATTTATTAAAGAGGCTGTCTTTACTCCACTGTATGCTCTTGCCACCTTTGTCAAATATTAATTGAGCGTATTGCCTTGGGTCCGTTTCTGGGTTTTCAATTCTGTTCCACTGGTCTATATGCCTGTTCTTGTGCCAGTACCAGGCTGTTTTGGTTACAGTTGCTTTGTAGTATAATCTGATATCTGGTATTGTGATCCCACCTACTTTGTTCTTCTTTTTCAAGATTGCTGTGGCTATTCGGGGTCTTTTTTGGTTCCATATGAACTTTTGAAGTATTTGTTCTAGTTCTATGAAATATGTCGTTGGTATTTTGATGGGGATTGCATTGAATCTATAGATTGCTTTGGGTAGTATGGACATTTTAATTATGTTAATTCTTCCAATCCATGAACAGGGTATGTGCTTCCACTTTTTTATATCTTCTTCTATTTCTTTTTTCAATGACCTGTAGTTTTCTGCAAATAGGTCCTTTACTTCTTTGGTTAAGTTTATTCCTAGGTATCATAATTTTTTTGGAGCGATGGTAAATGGGATTGTTTTTTCAGTTTCTCTTTCTGTGAGTTCATCATTGATGTACAAGAATGCCGTCGATTTCTTGACGTTAATTTTGTATCCTGCTACTTTGCCAAATTCATTTATTAAGTCTAATAGATTTTTGATGGAGTCTTTAGGGTTTTCTATGTACAATATCATGTCATCTGCAAATAATGACAGTTTCACTTCCTCCTTTCCAATTTGGATCTCTTTTATTTTTTCTTCATGTCTGATTGCTGTGGCTAAGACTTCCAGTACAATGTTAAATAAGAGTGGCGAAAGTGGACATCCCTGTCTTGTTCCTGTTCTTAATGGAAATGTTTTTAGTTTCTGCCCATTGAGTATGATGTTGGCTGTAGGTCTTTCATATATGGCCTTTATTATGTCGAGATATGATCCCTCTATTCCTACATTGCAGAGCGTTTTTATCAGAAATGGATGCTGGATTTTGTCGAATGCTTTTTCAGCATCTATTGATATGATCATGTGGTTTTTAGTCTTCATTTTGTTTATGTGGTGTATCACATTTATTGATTTGCGAATATTGTACCAGCCTTGCATCCCTGGAATGAATCCCACTTGGTCATGGTGAATAATTTTTTTGATGTATTTCTGGATCCGATTTGCTAATATTTTGTTCAGGGTTTTGGCGTCTATGTTCATCAGGGATATTGGCCTGTAGTTTTCTTTCTTCATAGTGTCTTTTTCTGGTTTTGGAATTAGAATTATGCTGGCCTCATAGAACGTGTTTGGAAGTCTTCCTTCTTCTTGAATTTTTTGAAATAGTTTGAGGAGAATGGGTGTTAGTTCTTTTTTGAATGTTCGGTAAAACTCCCCTGTGAAACCATCTGGGCCTGGGCTTTTGTTTGCTGGGAGAGTCTTGATTACCTCTTCAATTTCCTTAGTTGTTATTGGTCTGTTCAAGTTTTCTATCTCTTCCGGGAATAGTTTTGGGAGACTGTGTGTTTCTAGAAATTTGTCCATTTCGCTGAGATTGTCGAATTTGTTGCCATATAGTTGTTCATAGTAGTTGTTAATGATCTTTTGTATTTCCGTGGTGTTGGTTGTTACTTCTCCTCTTTCATTTCTGATTTTGTGTATTTGGGTTCTCTCTCTTTGTTTCTTGGTGAGTCTAGCTAAGGGTCCATCAATCTTGTTTATCTTTTCGAAAAACCAGCTCTTTGTCTCATTGATCCTTTGAATTGTTTTTTTGGTCTCTATGTCATTTATTTCTGCTCTGATCTTTACTATTTCCTTCCTTCTACTTGCTCTGGGGTTTTCTTTTTGTTTGCTTTCTAATTCTTTAAGTTGTGAGGTTAGACAGTCAATTTGAAATTTTTCTTGTTTTTTGAGGTAGGCCTGTAGTGCTATGAACTTCCCTCTCAGAACTGTTTTCGCTGCATCCCATAGATTTTGTGTTGTTGTGTGTTCATTTTCATTGGTTTCCAGGAAGTTTTTAATTTCTTCCTTGATCTCCTCGGTGACCCATTCATTGTTTAATAACATGCTATTTAGCCTCCATGTGTTGAAATGTCTTTGCATGTTCTTGTTGCAATTGATTTCTAGTTTCATGCCATTGTGATCTGAGAAGATGCTTGATATGATTTCAATCTTCTTGAACTTGTAGAGATTTAGTTTGTGTCCTATCATGTGGTCTATCTTTGAGAATGTCCCATGTACACTTGAGAAGAATGTGTATTCTGTAGTTTTGGGGTGTAATTCTCTGTAGATATCTATTAAATCCATTTGGCCGAGGACATTTTTTCATTCTTTGTTTAGATAGAGTGGGAGGGAGAGAGAGGAAGAGAGAGAGAGAAACATCGATGTGAAAGGGACACATCGAGTGGCTGCCACCCTCATGACCCAACCGGGGCCGGGGACAAACTGCAACCGAGGTATGTGCCCTTAGTTGGAACCGAACCCTGGCCTCTCTGGACTGCAGGCCGACACTCCAACCACTGAGCCAAACCGGCCAGGGCAACTGTAGACATTTCTTTTGTAATGCAGAGAGAAATAGCTGTTCAGCCAAAATTATAAAAAATTGCCCAAAGGCTATGTCTATACGTTTTTAAGTAAAGGGAATTCGAGTGGTTTGAGATGCTGGCACCCTTCAGAAGCACTTTCGGACTTATTCTCTGGATTCCAGAGGCACTTTGAATCTATACACACTTCACTTACCATCCAAGGGTTCCGACTCCAGCCGGGAAGCTTTAGAATTTTTCTCAAGATTTGTTTTTCTGCCTCAGTACATTGAGGTACAAGACACACTCTCATCAGCTGGCATATTTTAAATTGGTTTCTAGCCTCTGAATATGAAGTTTTCAAATGTCATGTTTCCAACGTGGATTCTGCCCACATGCTGATTTTTTGTGAACCAGGAAAGGTGACCCTTCTTGGGGGCAGTGGCAGCCCCAAACTGGGCACAAGATTTGGTGAGCAGAATGCAGACTGGATTCCAGCCCTACCTGTCCCCCCAGACAGAGGACGTCCTGCGAATGAGTAAGTTACACCACTAAAGTAGGGTCCCAATCTGCTTCCCTCCCTCTCCTCCAGCCCCCCACCCCTGTAGGGCTGAACCGAGTGCCACCTGCAGACCCAGCCTTCATCCTGACCCGAATCAGGCTCTGTCTGTGGACCTTGCTACTCACCTTAGTTACTGACAGCACCACAGCGCTCCGAGTCTGGTAACTGGGCTCCTGACCGTGGTCTCATGTTGGTGCCCTCAATATTTTCACTGGGTTTGTGCCTTCTCTGGATCAGTTACCATCTCCGGATCTGCAGCTCTGCGCAGGCTGGGATGCTGTTATCCGTGGTGAGTCTCTTGGTGATGCCGCCTTCCTGCCTGAAGTTGTGAACTCCCTCCTCTGCCCCGGATCCCGTGATGCCATGTTGCCTGTTTAGAAGTCCTTAAACTTCATCTCACAGCTAGACCACCTGGGCTGCAGCCCTCTCTTTCCATGACCCCAGGCTTGTGATTTGTCCCCCAGAACAAGCCTACTTGCTTCCAAGTCATTTGCCGGAGCCTCAGTTACGGAGCCTAATCTGGGCATGAACCCCTTGCCCACAGGCCCACTCTGAATTCTGAGACACGTCTGTCTAGGCTCAGCACAGACGCACACAGACCTCTCTCCTAGGCCCTCTCTGCCTACATGGGCAGTAACAGTTGATGTTCAGAAAAGTGACCTGAAGCACTGCAGATTTCATAAAAAAGAAAAAAAATGTTGCTTTCGTCCACATTTTACTTATTAACACAGAAAGTAGAACAAATACTTTTAGGAAGAATATCAACCACAAAGGTTGAAATACAAAGGATGCTTTGATAAAATTCTCACTTACTTGGAAAAGCAAGGTCATGGAATTATAAGCACAGCAAGCCGAGGGCTGTGCCCCTTCACTTCAACCACACTAAAGCCAGTGTCCAGGACCACAGTAGGTTCTCAGTTAACATTTGCTGAATGAATGAAAACATCAGTCAATCTAAACACAGTATTTAATCATGAAAGATTCATTAGTTTAGATAGTCACTCTTTCATCATACCTATTATTAGTCATATACAGTTTTTAGTCATTTTGTAGTTTATAATTTTAATATATCAGAATAGAAGATAATTAATAAAAATAAACACACAATAAGTATTCATGATATAGTGGCTGACATCGTGATCATAATAGGAAATGTGAGTGAAACATGTGTCTGTGTCTGAAATCCTGGCAAGATGGTAATGTATAGGTGGAAATACATTCTAATTTTGGCAATGAAAAAGGGTTTTCTATGACTGGGAGACACACAGGACTAAGCATAATACTGCTATATATTGTCAGAATACTTAACAATTTCCAAAGTGCTCGGACATATGTAATCATATTTGATGTTCACAAGAAGATAGAAGAACATAGTTAAAGAAAATTATATGCATCCCTCTTTTATGAGAAAATATCTAGTGGCTTATGAAATACAACAGCTTTCAAAGTGATTTCTGTTTTATCATTAAAAGTAATGATTCAACTGATAGTATAGAACGAGATAGGAAAAGTACTCTCTGAAACAAAGAAAAATGGAAGGGAAGGAGCCCATAATGGCAACTTTCATATACTGTGATGAAGACAGACTTCTATTATTCAACCTGGGACAGTTATACCATTCTAAGAGATAAGTGATGAGTTGCTGGAAGTGAGTAATGAGACTCAAGCTTTGGAAGTCTAGATTCAGCTCACTGAAGAGGAATGATTACCACGCTTACCATTTATATTGCATGTAGTGTATATCAAAGTAGCGATACCTCTGGGAACCTAGAGCAGCTATTCAGAAGAATTCAAGAGGCTACAAGAACAGCAAACTCTGTGTGTGTGTGCGCGTGTGTGTGCAAATTCCACATGGGTTCTCGGCCAGCCCAGTGTCCTTTCTTACAACTAATCAAAATTATACCTATTTTTTGTCAGATCAGCAAGAAATATATTTTTTGGTGTGCCGCAGAATTTTAGTAATTAATTTATGTGTTTGCCATGAGATGAAAAGGTTGAAAATCGCTGAATTAGCAAGTTTCACCTCCCCACTTCTTCAAGTTAGCCTCTGTTAATAATTCAGTGTAAAGTCCAGCAGGTCTTTTCTTCTAGGCACACACTTAATTAGCCAATAACTTTGAAAGATCTCTGCACTATATTTTGACTACTATCTTGTATCAAGCAGTAGGGAGAAGAATGCCCAATATGTGACTCTTGTCAGATCTAAAAAATAGGTCAGCCTCATAGTTTAAGCAAAGAGAAATTGAAGCTCCAAAAACATGTTTTAAAAATGGATGGAAGAACCCTGGCCGGTTTGGCTCAGCGGTTAGAGCGTCGGCCTGCGGTCCAGAGAGACCCGGGTTCGGTTCCCGCTAAGGGCACGTACTTCGGTTGCAGTTTGTCCCCGGCCCTGGTTGGTCGTGCGGTGGCAGCCACTCGATGTGTCCCTTCACGTCGATGTTTCTCTCTCTCTCTCTCTTCCTCTCTCTCCCTCCCGCTCTGTCTGTACAAAAAATGGAAAAATGTCCTCGGGTGAGGATAAAAAAATAAATAAATAAAAATAAATAAATAAATAAAATGGATGGAAGAAAAGCCATCAGTGTTTGGAACTAGCTAGAGTGAGGGCTACTCGAATTCTGGGAATTTGAACACTTGCAGGTTTATGGTTGTCAAAATTTGAAATCAAATCTGCTGAGGCCAAAATGTTTGAAATAACAATGTGGTCAGACACATCTCTGGTGTGGACTTCAGCTGACTAAAACAAACACCAAAATAGCAACACAGTCTGTCTCAGAGAATCTTGCTTTCCCAGCAGCCCCTTTGGCTTGCAAGAAATTTCTATTACAGTTTCCTAACGGAGAATCATGCTTCCACTGAAATGACAGTCCTGCTCGAACTGCATGGAGCGCCGAAGTTCCACAACTTTTGAGCACTGGTCTCCACACTTGGAAATGCTTGTGTTATTGTTTCAGAACCGGTGTCCCTGTCTGCCAGAGGCTGTGCTCCAAATGTTTCCATGTCACCTATTTGGAGCTTGTATCATGCATTGCTATAGAAACAGTCTATGTGGGATTTGGGGGTTCCTTAAATAGGCCAGATCATCAGATGGCATCTGATATACCTACTTGTGTGCAATGTAGAAATATGAGACCTTGGGTAACATTGCCTTTAAAATATGTTTTCTTTAAGCATTCTAACTTGGGATGCCTGGAATGTGGTTCTAATCTCAGGGTCAGGAAGTCTCTGGCCTTGTGCCTTGCAGGTTTCCCAGGTCCTGGAATCACCATCACTGAGGACCTGGGACAGAGCAAGTGGCAGGAGCCTGGGGCAAGTGAGGAATGGGGTTATACTTTCCCATAAGCATGCTCTGTCCAAGGAGCTCTCAGCCCCTCCTCCTCAGGGGATGTATCTGAGGAGGATCCTCAAAACACAAATTGCTCACCTAAAGCAAAGATTACCCATTGGTTTGCTCTAAGTGCCTCCTCTATGTCCGTATTCCAGGAAAGTAGCAAGGAGTAAAACTGTCCTTTACCTTGGGGAGTTAGAATGAAGGTAGAAATTTGTGGGCTGCATCCTCAGGCATAAAAGCAGGGTTTCTAGTTACTGTCTCAAAATAAAGACAGACTGTAGAGTGCAGGATGCTGTTCTGTCCCCAGATTTAAAGATGTTATTATCTCTCTCTCCTGTTTCTTTCAGCAAGTAGTAATAAAATCCTTTAAATAAAAAATGTCTGTGCTTTCTGGGTAGACAGCAAAGAGGAGGTGAGTGGAGACAGGCTGCACGTTTTCTCTCTAAGTGTTAGAGTGGATTGTAGGAGTTGTACCAGTAAGAATGTGGCAGAGAGAAGGCATCTCACTGGAACCAGCAGCGTGGGCATCACCTGGGAACTTATTAGATGAAAAAGTTCTCAGGCCCCCTAACCTAACTGAATAAAGAATTCTGGGAGTGAGGCCTGGCCAGTTGTGGTCAACAAGCCCTTCCAGGCAACTTCAATGACCAAAGTCCAGTTTGAGGACCACTGGGCAGTGGGTAAGGACTCTAACAGAGCTGCTTTTAAATCCTGTCTCTGCCATTTAACAGCTGAGTTGAGCAAGTTAATCTCTTGCTCAATAGCGAGCGATTTAGGCTCAATAGTGAGCCTAAATAACCCAACCAAATTCACATAGCTCAAAAGTGGTTTAGGACCTGAGCCCAGGTTTGAGCTATTAATTGCACTGAACTGATAAAACAAAAAAAAATGATGCACTTATTTACTCATTCATCCAACATTCATTCAATATGCGTGATTAGGTAATACACTGAGAGGTGGGGAATGTGAAAATGAGTAAAGAGCTCCATCCCCAAACTTCAAGAAGTTCATGAGGTTTTTTTTTGGCTCAGAATGAACAAATGACAGATCTCCTCATTTTAAAAGATGATGTTATGTGTGTGATTTTGAGAGAATGAAAAGATTGTCTATGACTCCTTTGATCAGCCATTGACAGAACCCGCCAGCGCTGGCAAATGAGCGCAGGCCTGTCTGCCGGTCGCCAGCGTTTCCAGGCCGGACCAGCTTAAGGGCAGCCTTGAACCCTCCCAGTGGGCCCCCTGCTCTCCCTGCTGGGTTGTACCCTGCACTTCAGTTCAGCTATGATAGTATTCACTGCCCTCCGTAGGCGGATCCATCAAAACCGTAGGGAAGGCGGCGCAGCACCAAGAGCTGGCCGGCCGACGCTCTTCCAGGGGCAGAACCTGTCACTTGGGAAATTTCCCAGAAAAATGACAGAGAAAAGACTGAGGCCAGCTCCTTAGAATCGAGAGCTGTTAGCGCTGGCCAAACCCTGTAGGAGCTCCAGGGTCTCGGCCAGGCAGTCTCCGGGCTTCTGGGGCCATCGGTGACCCCCGCCCCTCCCCGCTGCCTCCCCGAGTCGGGCTGACCATTGCTCAAGCGGACAAGTCCAAGTGCAGCGATCATCACCTTGGAGCAGCCAGTGATCCTCCCCGGGGGCCGGCCTTGGCGGACACCCCCCGGGCCGGGCTGGGACACCGCGGCCTCCGCCACACCCCCGACCCCGGGCCGGGGAGGAGAGCGTGCGGGACAGCGGCTGGTCTCCGGACTGATATTCAGGTTGCACAGGGGCAGGCGGGAGCGGAACCTTTCTCCTCGGCCACTTGTCGCTTCCACCCGGGCCCGTTGAGGGCGGGCCTGGCGTGGAGGCTCCACCCAAACATGGCGCCCGTGGGCCCTGAGCCGGGGCAGCGGTCGTCTGGGCTGGAGGCCCCGGGACCCCTCGAGGACCGGCTTTTCCTGGTGAAAGGTGTGGTGTGGTGAGCAGCGGGATAGGGGCGAGCTCACCCCGGGCCCTGCCTCGCTGGATCGGGCGTTTCCACCTACACCTGCCCTGCGCGACCTGCGCCGGGGTTTGCCCGAGTTTAGCCCGCGGTCCGGCCCGGGTCCGTGGCCGAGCGGGGCTGGTTCGCGCGCTGTTCTGTGTGCTGCATCGCCCCGTCCCTCCGCGGGTGCTCTCGTGCCCCCTTTTCTTTAAACCTGTAGAACTAAACATTTTTTCATTTTGATGAAAATTATTGGGGTGACATTGGTTAATAAAATTATATGGGGTTCAGGTGTACATTTGTATAATACATGATCTGCATATTGCATTGTGTGCTCCCCACCCAAGGGCTAGTCTCCTTCCTCACTATATATTTGACCCCCTTTACTCTTCACTATCCCCCACCGTCCTTCCCTCGCGGTCACCATCTGAGCTCTGTGTCCGTGAGTTTTTGTCTTGTTTGTTCATTTGTTGCTTTCAGTTTTATACCACACAGATGCATGAAATCATATGGTTCTTGATTTTTTTTTCTGTCTGACTTAATTCGCTTAGCATGATGTTCTCAAGATCCATCTGTCCCAGTAAGGGTCCCTGTATCCATTCTCTGCACTTGGGAATGATAGAATGACCTCAGGAAACAGAGGTCATGAGGTCAGGAAGGTTTCACAGCCCCTATCATTTACCTTTGGCAAGAGCTGCTGGAATTTCAAAATTGATTTTGACTGTAATTTAAGTAGTGCCTGAAATATACTTGTGCACATCTTTTTAACGGCAGGTCTCTCTCTCTCCCCCTCCCTCCCTCCTTTCCCTCCCTCCCTCCCTCCCTACTTTCCCTCCCTCCCTCTTTTCCTTTCCTTCCTCCTTCCCTTCCCTCCCTCCTTTCATTCCCTTCCCTCCCTCCCCTCCCCTCTCCTTTCTCCCCATCCTCCACATCCTATCCCCAAAACCTTCGGCAGGTGGACTTTTCCTAGGTACTGTTGCTGCAGCCGGAATGCTAGCTGGATTTGTTACAACATTATCATTGGCTAAAAAGAGAAGCCCAGAATGGTTTAATAAGGTTTGTGATACTGAAATCTATTCATAGCATTGTTATTGTTTACAACTTAATAGCAGCTGTTTTGCATAGGAAAAATAAAGAAAATGTCGATGGCCTTTTATAGTGCATTTAGAAGTAAACCTATATACACCTCATAGCTTCAAGAAGTGCACAAATTAGTCAACAGTCTTTATTTTCATTTAAAAAGAGGTACTTAATTATATGATTTCTTAACTTTTAGCAGACAAGACTTTGAAAGCTCATCCAGTACATTTTCTATTCACAACATGACTTTATTTTTTTTAATTAATTAATTTATTTTTGTTCAGATGTTTCTCCTTTTCCCCCCCACTGATTCCCCCCTCCTCCTCCCTCCCCGCCCTGTCCCCAGCTTTGTTGTCCATGTCCATTGTTCATGCATACATGCATATACGTTCTGTGGTTTATCTTTCCCCCACCACCCCATCTTCTGGGGATTGTCAGTCTGTACCCCACTTCCATGTCTTTGGGACTACCCCATTCCTCAGACTGTTATGTTCATTATATTCCACAAATAAGTGAGATCATATGATACTTGTCTTTCTCTGTTTGGCTTGTTTCTCTTAGGATAATACTTTCCAGGTCCCTCCATGTCGTCCCAAAGGATAAGAGGTCTTTCTTACAGCTGCATAGTACTCCATTCACAACATAACTTTAGATCTAAATCTAGGTAATTCACTGTCAGTTGTAAGAGACCCCAATGTTTTATGTATCACTAAGAAAGAAAAAGTAGTGCCAATTAAATTCTTGATGCAATACTGATTGCAAGAGGCATTTCTATCTCAGAGATGTTAAAATGTTGAAATAAAGTGCATCTTAGAATTGATGAAAAACATATCAGCTCCTTGAATTCAGAGATATACATGCTTATGCATTGCTGCAGCTCTCCTCTAGAAAAGTGCCTGGCACACAGTAGGTGCTCCGTAAATTTTAATTGAATGACTATAACGTGCTTAAGACAGAAAATCCTTACTCCAAGAGCAAGATTGAGCAATCACTGTTGTGATCATATATAGCTAGCTTACTTACCTAGTTGATGAGAAATTTTCTTTACATTTGCTTGTAGTTATTTGTTCTTATGTATTGTTCTGTCTCTGCCCTCCCCTGGTTTGTTTATCTATTACTTGGGCCCTTTTATGTGATAGGCATTGTGCTAGCTAGCTATAAGAGATACAAAAATGAAGAAAACATATCTGCCCTTCAGGAGTCTAGCTTTGGTGTGAGAGACAGATATTAAACAAAATTCACATAAATAACTACATAATTACGATTTGATATTTGCTCTAGAAGAAGAGTGTTATGTAAAAATATCATAAACCAGTTGAATCCCTTTCTACTTCTATGTATCTTTAATAACCTATTAACCATACTTAAGCCTTATGAATACTGTAATTGCGAGAGACCACATTTAAAGTGTATCTGGCCCTGGCCAGTTTGGTTCAGTGGTTAGAGCTTTGGCCCGTGGACCAAAGAGTCACAGGTTTGATTCTGGCCAGGGGCATGTACCTCAGTTGCAGTTCGTCCCTGGCCCTGGTTGGGGTCTTGCAGGAGGCAACCAATCCATGTGTCTCTCTCACATCGATGTTTCTCTCTCTCTCTCTCTCTCTCCCGCCTCTCCACTCTAAAGATAAATGGGAAAAAAACATCCTTGGGTGAGGATTAAAAAAAAAAAATTAAAAATTAAAGTGTATCTGGGTCCTCTTCTGAATACTCAGGGTTTATATAGAACTTTCCAAATTACTCCTATAAACCTCATAGTTATTTCTACCTATATTACAGAATATTTTCAGAGTGGAAATATATCTTGTGGCAGAAATAAGTCAAACCTAACTGATAGTGGTGCTTTAATAGTGGAGTTTGGGTTGATTTCTAAGCTTACGTTTCCACATTAACCTTTAGGTCACAGGTCTTTGTGAGAAGCTGATGAAAACTAGGAGTTTTCTCTCAAGATGAGAAGCACATACAGGTGTTCACAGCTTCACTTTGATTTTGTGGTTTAAGATTTGATTATCACACTTGCCCTTTATGGTTTTCAAACTGTGGTCCACAGAGCCCTGGGGATCATTGAGACCCTTTTGGGGTCTGTAGAGTCAACACTTCATAATAATACTATGATTTTTGCGCTGATGGTATTGGAGCAAAGGGAGCGGGGGAGGATGGCTGGTGCCTTGGTGTAATCAAGGCAGTGGCCCCACACTGTACTAACAGCCATTGTGTTCTTCACTACTGTGCACCTACAGTTTTAAAAAACCATCATTTTATAAGAATGTCCTTGTTGAAGCAGTAAATTTATTTTATTAAATCTTAACTCTTGAACATACTTCTTTAATATTCTCTGTGAAGTAATGGAAGGTACATATAAAACTTTATATCAAAATAAGATGTTTTTCTCAAGGAAAAGCAATTGAGTTGCATGATGAACTAACTGCTTTTTTTCATGGCATATGATTTTTACTTGAAATAAAAGCTGACAAACTGTAGTTATTCAGACATTTTCTTAAAAATGAACAAAATGGACCTGTCTCATCAAGCAAGCAATTGTCAGAATTTGCTGCCAATGATAAAATTTGAGCCTTCAAGTGAAAATTACGTTTCAGAAAACTTGCTTCTCCCTTTGTGAACTTGAGAGCTGCTCAATACTTAAAGGCTTTTCTGATGAGATTGTGATGATATTAATGAAGTGATTTTTTATTTTTTTATTTATTTATTTATTTTTATTTTTTTTTTATCCTCACACGAGGACATTTTTCCATTTTTTGTACAGATAGAGTGGGAGGGAGAGAGAGGAAGAGAGAGAGAGTGAGAGAAACATCAACGTGAAGGGACACATCGAGTGGCTGCCACCCGCACGACCAACCAGGGCCGGGGACAAACTGCAACCGAAGTACGTGCCCTTAGCGGGAACCGAACCTGGGTCTCTCTGGACCGCAGGTCGACGCTCTAACTGCTGAGCCAAACCGGCCAGGGCTGAAGTGATTTTTTAATGTTTAGCAAATGGTGTCAACATAGGAAAGATATGTGTAACTTGGTAAATCAATTTTCTGAATTATTATGATAAAAGTTTCATTCAAAGTACAAAATAGATGAATGGATTTTAGTGTAACAAAGTACAAAAAAATTTATTGATGTGATTTCACATTTCATATTGAAGCTAACCTTTAAGAAACTATTTGTCAAGTTTTGGTGTAATATCAAAGAATGAAGGCTATCAAAGTACACCTCCCATTTCCACCACATTTCTGTGCGAGGCTGGATTTTACTTCTGTCAGAAAGTATACTGCAACCCATTGAATTCAGAAATATATATGAAAATCCAACTGTCTTTTATTAAGCCAGACATTTAAAGGATTAACAGAAATGTAAAACATTGCCCTTTTTTTTGCACTAAATTTAATTTTGTTTGATAAGATTTTCAAAAATTTCTCTTCTTTATTGATTTTAGAGAGAGAGGAAGGAAGAGGGAGAGAGGGAGATAGAAACATCGATGAGAGAGAACATCGATTGGCCGCCTCCTACATGCTCTCTACTGGGGATTTGGCCCGCAACCTGGGCATGTGCCCTAACCACGAACTGAACCAGCAAGCTTTTGGTAGGTACATGGATCGATGCTCAACCACTGAGCTATACCGGCCAGGCAAGGGTTCTTTTTATATGTAGTTACCTTTTTTTTTTATCCTCACGTGAGGACATTTTTCCATTTTTTGTTTAGATAAAGTGGGAGGGAGAGAGAGGAAGAAAGAGAAAGAGAGAGAGAGAAACACTGAAGCGCAAAGGACATGGGGACACACTGCAACCGAGGCACGTACCCTTAGCAGGAACTGGACCCAGGTCTCTCTGGACCGCAGGCCGATGCTCTAACCACTGAGCCAAACCAGCCAAGGCCATAGTTACCTTTTTAACTCACGTGGGTTTATGTAGACTTAAAAATATATGTACATATATAATACATATATAATTTCTGTCCTACCCAGGGAAATAAGGAATTTTTAAAAACGTTTCTAATTGAGTTTTTTAGAGGAAGAGGAAGCAAGAGGGAGAGAGAGAAACATTGACATGAGAGGGAAACATTGATCGGGTCCCTCCTATACACCCCCTACCGGAGATCTGCAACCCAGGCATGTGCTCTGACTGAGAATTGAACCAGCATCCTTTTGGTACACAGACGATGCTTAACCAACTGAGTAACACTGGCCGTGGCGAAATAAGGAATTTTTAATTTAATTTTCTAAAATAAAATTTAGGTTAAAACACTTAAACCGACTCCAGTTTAATAATATTTGGTTAGTGGCACAGCTTCTAGATGAAAATTCAGGTCAGTTAGAACTTTGTGCACTTATGTGGGCTCTAGGGAACCACTGTGAAATTACAGCAACATGAGCCAAGGAGGAAGATGAGAGCATATTGTTTTTATTATAAGAAATGGCTAAAGAAAAATTTCTTGAAAATGTTGATGGGTCCACGGCATAGCTACAAAAAAGTGAGTCAGCAAATACTGAGTATGTACCAGGTCTAGGCATGGGCTAGGTACACGTGGGATACAGGTGAACAGTCCCTGTGTGCTATCAGTAACATTCACAATCACAAAATACACATGCAAAAGAACATGTATTAAGAAATGTGTTGAACAGTGTAAAAAAAATTATTCTAAAAAAGAAAAATAAATGGAAATACATTTCCAGGTGGAAGACAGGTTGATAATATGTTTGCTGTCATTGATCTTATTAGCTATTTAGTTTGATGTCATTCTAATGCAAATGTTAATGAATGGACATTTTCTCCAGTTATTTGGGGGTTGGAGAAATCTTGACAGAATGTTTTAGGATTTTTTTGGAAGAATTAATAGGCAAAAGCAGCAATGAAATTTTTGAAAAAAGTAATGTGCATGATGCACTTTCTGGATATCAGGACTTTTTATTCTATAATTAAATCTGTGTGATTCTGGCATAAAAATATAATAAAGTATTGGTACAAAAATGGCTTAGCAATAAACCTCTCTATAAGTTTCTCAAATAAATTGGGAGGAGAAGGATTAATCAATAGAGTAGGGCAGTTGCTAAGCTTTTGGGAAGTAAACTTCCTTGAGTGATCAGCTCCCATCAAAACCAAAATAAATACCAGATGAACTAAAAAGTTAGTGGTAAAAAGAAGAGACAATTTAAAAATAAAATTTCAGCTAATGGAAAAGAGACATGACTGTAACTTTAGGATAGGGGAAGTTTTAGTGAGCTTAAATGCATTAAAATGCATCTTTGACCAAAAACTAAAAAGTAAAATACAAGGAATTAAAGATAAACCAAACTGGAAAATTAGGATAGCACATTAAGTATAAGGCTGAAGAACATTAATATATAAAGAGAATATACAAATAAGAAAGCTGTCAGTGGGCAAATAACATGAATATACATTCAGAAGGCATAAACAAGCACTGGTTCATAACTTGGGAAAAGGTTCATTCTCACTAACATTTATGTAAACAGTTTTATATAAATTTCAAAGATTTCTTTTGGAGTATTTTTGTGTGTGTTTGCTTTTTTTTTACGGTAATTTTGAACCCTTCCCAAATATTTATTTTTTCTGGATTGTTGATTTTTAACCCAACCTTTCTGTCTTCGCTGCAGGGAAGTATGGCCACCGCTGCCCTGCCCGAGAGTGGGTCTGCCCTGGCCTTGCGCGCCCTGGGCTGGGGCTCCCTGTATGCGTGGTGTGGGGTTGGTGTGATCAGCTTTGCGGTCTGGAAGGCTTTAGGAGTTCACAGTGTAAGTAACTACAGTCCCCTAACTGGTATCTGGAATGTTTATTCTTCTTTCTGCGGGCCATATCTTCCTGATTCTCAAATCTGTGTACTTTGTTCACTGTCTTAGGAAGTGATGACAGAGAAGGTGACTAAATTCTTTCTAAAAACAAGGCAACTTCTCATTACTAGTAAATACTATTAGTCATTTAAATATTTGAAGGTGGTGAAACTTCAAATATAACTAAGTAATGACTAATTCATAGCAGATGTTCTTTCTATATTAATTGGCACTAGCTACTTGTTCAGGGAAATTATTTCATTTGGAATAACTTTCTATGCTGTTTGACATCCTTATATATAAATATTCTTCAGCCCTGGCCAGTTTGGCTCAGCAGTTTGAGAACATCAGCCCACAGACCTAAGGGTCTTGGGTTTGATTCCCAGTCATGGGTATGTACCTGGGTTGTAGGTTCAATCCCCAGCCCGGTTGGGGTTATGTAGGAGGCAACTAATCGATGTGTCTCTCTCACATTGATGTTTCTCTCCCTCCCTCCATTCCACTCTATATAAAAACAAACAAATTGAAACCATTGTCACCCCAATAAATTCAATAAAATAAAATTTAAAATATATTCTTCTGAAATAATTAAAACCTTGTAAAATTATTTAAATTATTAATGTGTTGCCCGGCCGGTGCGGCTCAGTGGTTGAGCGTTGACCCATGCACTAAGAGGTTGCCAGTTCGATTCCCGGTTAGGGCACATGCCCAGGTTGTGGGCCAAATCCCCAGTGGGGGGCATGTAGGAGGTGGCCAATCCATGTCCTCTCTCATCGATGTTTTTATCTCTTCCTTTCTCTCTAAAATCAATAAAGGAAAAAAATTATTGATGTGTTTACATTTTATGGGGGAAAAATCCAAAAAGCCTGTGTATGTATGTGTGTAATTTAGCCTCCAAGCAAAAAGCTCTCCATTCAGAATGACTGTCTTCTTTTCGATTAAACTACCAGTAGGGAGTTCTGTGGCCCACACTCCGTGACAGGAGGGAATGGTGGTGGTGAAGCAGTTGGCAGCAGTGGAGCTGATGAAAAGAGGCTCTGGATAGATTTTGAAGGTAGAGTCAACAAGGATTTGTTAGGTTGGGTGCAAAAGGTGTGAGAAAACGTGAACTCAAAACTGTCCCCAAGGCTCTTGGCCTGAGCAACGGGAACGTGGATGGGGACCAGTGTGCAGGGGCAGGTGCTGGGGGTTAAGTCAGGAGCTCAATCTGGGACTTGTCAGTTTGAGACATGTTAGATAGCCTAGTGGAGAGTCAAGTAAGCAGTTGGCTATAGAAGGCTGGAATTCAGGGGAGAGGCGAGGACAGACATTTGCAGCTCGTCAGTGTATATTGATAGTCCTCAAAGCTACGAGACCAGATGTCCGCACTGAGGCAGTGCGGGTCGAGCTGTCTGAGGAAGGAAGGAACTCTAAACTGAGGTTTAAAGGTTGGGGAATGAGAACAGTAGCAAATGAGATTTCCACAGTGCAGAGGTAGGAAAACCAGGAGAATGGTGACTCGGGTGCCAGGTGAAGAGGACCTTCCAAGGAGGTGTGCGCTGGGGATAAGTCCGGGAGGTGAGCACTGGCGCCCACCGAGCCAGCCCGGGCAGTCCTCGATGGGCCGGCCCCAGCGGGGTGGATCCGGGAGGGCGTGGAGGACGCAGATTGGAGGCAGTGTGTGTAAGCAAGCCTGGAGTTTTGCTGTGAAGGGAAAGAAAGAAGTGGGCTCATCGTTAGAAGGGGAAGTTGGGGTAGAGAATGTGTGTTTATTTTTTAAGTTGGGAGAATTAACAGTACGTATGCATGCTGATGGGAGTGATTCCGTGGAGTCATAGATGTTATTTATTATTATTATTACTGGCAGTATAGAGTTTTTTACATTTGGCCTAATCTTAACTAAACATAGACGTTTTTGTACTTTTCACTGAAAATATACCAATAGACAAACAGATGTTGCTTTTCTCCTAGTCTGACTAACCTTTTTTTTAAGTAACTGTGCTGGCAAATTTTCAAACAGCAACAAAATTAGGTTATTTAAGTTAAATGATGTACTTGAGAACTAGGGCTTCATGGGCTAGCCTGTGCTATTCTAGTTTCTAGAATGTGCTTCTTTGCTGTATGGGACTGCTAAGAGGATTATAGCCTAAATGAAATATTTGGGGGAGAAATATTTGTTTTGGATTGGCACTATTGAACCTAAGGGTACTTGGCCTCCTTTTACGTTGCATCCTAATGTGCTGAAAGAGTGAGCCTGCGGTACATCCCTATGTGCAGGTCACTGAGCTCACAGAGAAAGGAATCACTATTACTTTGTCAAGGGTACAGCTTTTGAAAGCAGTAGTGTTTATTGATTTGTTCATCTAGAAGACATTTGTGGGCCTACCCTGAGCCAGGCACTGTGCTAAGACAGGGCTCCCCAGTAGACTTAGTATGAACAGCTTAGGCTATATAAGACGACTTTTTACGCAAATTCTTATCAGATGACCCTGCCCTGAGGCTTGTGGAGAGCAAGGTGGTATATTTCAGCTCTGCATTTAGAGAGTTTTGATTAAAACTGTGAGGTTGCCCACAGAAAAGTCCAGTGATGAACTCACTATTCACTGCCTCTTACTGGGAGTGTCATCTCTCTGTGACTAAGGAGGACAGACGGTCTCAGCTGGAGAATGTCGGACAGAAGTGGTGCAGGTCTATGCACTCAGCACACAACTGAGAGGGTTGTTCTGGGTCAGAGTCATTTTCATGTCTAATGATGGTTGGTAGCTGCCTTCGTTGTACTAACTCTTTACTATTAACCCAGTTTTTTAAAAAAGGGATGCCATCTAATGGCTGACCCAGACAGAGCAGCTTGCATGCCCTGTTTTAACTCACAGCTACATCTGCTGGCCTGAGAGGGAACATGTAGAAAATGCATCACGTGAAGCTCTTCAGTGTCTTAGAAATATTTTTAATTTACTTTTTGTCGATTCATAATTAGTGTGCAATTTCATTTCACATAGAATATGTATCAAGTAGAAATAGAATTTGTATTTTACACAATGGTCTATCATTTAATCAGAGGTTCCAAAAAAGGAAGCTAGTGGAAGCTATTTGTCAGCAGACCCAACCAGGTCAGTGCACCCAGATTTAACATGGGACACTCCCTCCACCCTGCTGACCAGTCTTGGGCCACAAATATGGCCTGACTGCTCAGTATGGATTTATTAGTTGAATTATGATGTTTTATCATCGATTATGATTGAGGCAGATTAATTTTTTTTTTAATATATTTTTTTAATCCTCACCCGAGGACATTTTTTTCGTTTTTTGTTCAGATAGAGTGGGAGGGAGAGAGAGAGAGAGAGAAACATCGACGTGAAAGGGACACATCGAGTGGTTGCCACCCGCACGACCCAATCAGGGCTGGGGACAAACTGCAACTGAGGTACATGCCCTTAGCGGGAACCAAACCCTGGTCTCTCTGGATCGCAGGCTGATGCTCTAACCGCTGAGCCAAACCGGCTAGGGTGAGGCAGATTAATTTTTATCACAGTAACTTAACTGTGAAAAGAATGAACATATCCTGGCCGGTTTGGCTCAGCGGTTAGAGCGTTGGCCTGCGGACCGGAGAGTCCTGGGTTGGTTCCCATTGAGGGCACATACCTCGGCTGCAGTTTGTCCCCGGCCCCGGTTGGGGTCATGTGGATGGCAACCAGTCGATGTGTCTCTCTCACATTGATGTTTCTCTCTCTCTCTTTTCCCCTCTCTCTCCCTCCCGCTCTGTCTGAAGATGACTGCAAAAATGTCCTCGGGTGAAGATAAAAAAAAAAGAATAAACATTTATGATGGGTTTATGATCCTAGGAGACTGATATGTTCGGGCCAGGTGAGTGCCACTCTGGCACTGTGATTAGATTGTTTGATCAGGGCAGACAAGTTAGTTTAGAAAATAGTCGAGATCAGTGCTCTTTAGTCGATCAATAGGATCTTTAGTGACACCAGCTGGTAATCCTCCAGTTATCGAAAGAGAAAGCCATGCCACCTACAGCTAACTTATTGTTCCTCAAGGGCAATGACTTGGTTACTTTTTTTACCTTTTATTATATTGGGTATTAGTACTTGAAAGGGTTTCTGAAGAAGTTGAGCATATTTATAGCTAGATTCTCTTGTCTCCCCCTGCCCCTGAGAAGGAAAAACAATAGGTGTGTAAATAATTCCTGCTTAAATATGATTGGATAATACTTCATTTATGCCTGTGGACCCATATTCTACATTTGTTTCAAGTGAGGTTATAGCCTCAAAGTGCTGGTCAGAATTGCCCATTGCTAACATTTACTGTAGTTTGTATATCATATGTTCATGAACCTCAGTGTAGTTAGAATTTACTGATTATTTACAGTTGTTGCCCTCATAGGAATTAAAACCTCAAATAGTAATAAAACCACAAATGAAAACATTCTTAGTTATTGTGAAATACTTTAAATTGTCCAGAGATTTAAATTTAAAAATTAACTTACAAAGGGAGGTCTTTGATTTGTTTGTTTACCCTTTTGCCATGGGATAAGAGGACTTTATTTGTAGATATTGGTATTTATTTTTAAAGAAAAATATATTTTGGACCTATCTTTCTTTAAACAAAAATGGCTTTTTTTTTGGTAAAAATATGTATTCAGTGTTTAAAATAAAAGAATTAATTAGAAAATACAGTTACAAGAAATCTCACTGAGTTGTAGTCACCTGTTAGAGTAGAAACATCTTCGGACATTCTTCTCTAGGCACGGTCACATGATCGTACATAAATGTTATTTTACTTACTACTATGGAACCGTTTTCACTGAATAGTCCTAAGAATTCTTTGTACAGTAGAGTATATAAATCTCTATCACTTTTAATGGCGACATGGTGCTCTACCGTGTATTATAATTTACTTAATCATTCTTCTGCCAACAGTATCTAGACTGTAATTTTTCACTATTAAACACCATAGTGAACCTCCATAGGCATACA